ACATACTAACCTAATATGAGCAGTATCCCAGCAACCATACAGGAAGTCTTAACAACGATTCAGAGCTAATCGATCCAATAAAACCTGATTACTTGTCCCCTCGCATTCATTTCTCTAAAAACGTTCACGCGCCAAGGATAACGAATGGTGGTAAATTGAGCTCGACACAATGAATCGCCCTACATTAACGCCTTTTTTGCTTGTAGCGATTTTGTGCATGGGAGGAATCTCCGATTGTACAGCTGTGGATCAAGGCCTCCGTTTGCAGAGTTATTCCGCAGACCACGTAGAGGGATGTTACGTCCACAATAAAACCTTGGGCGTCTGCTTCGATATTCGTGAAGGATTCATGAAATTGTTAAAGGCCAATGGCGATGAGATGGTTCTTTACATGGACCTTGGACCTGAAATGTTTTACTACAACATTATGGGTCAGGGTTTCATTGGGTAAGTGTGTGATTCAGTCCTCATTTGGAAATGGCTACCATTAATTACATCGAAGGACGAAAGAGGGCCTTCGTTTTAATTTTCCTCTTAAATATTTATATTAGTTTCAAAGGGTAGTTCCTTAAAGTGCTCATGACGCGAAATTTTTTTTTTTGCATTTTATGCTTGATAGCTGTATTTAAAATTAGAAATAATCGACCTTAGCGCCTAGCGAGTTCTCCTTGACCATTATTGGGCCATTGAAGATACGATTTGGCAGCCAAAATGTATCCCTGTTACGCGCGCGGCCAAAATGACCATGTTACGTAGCTGTGACGTAGAAAACTGTGAACACACGTCGTCAATTATCAGTAAGATAGGACGAACGTATTACGTGGCCGAAGCGCCAAATGATGTTAGCTACAAGAATAATACACATAAACTGGGTATTTCTATACACTACTTTCGAAAGGATGTAGCTGTATGGCCAAAATAGACGCGTTTCGATCGTCGATATCGAGGAGATTTTACTCTTCAACGTCGTCGGCCTTATGCTCCGTAACGGCTTCGAAGACGCCTGTTACGAACACATACCACTTGTCAAATCAGGGGAAGATAACCAATGAATTCGCCTAAAAAGAATGCTGATTAAGGGGCTAGTTTCTACGCCATACACGATTATCTAACATTCTTTTCAGCTGACATTTCGCAAGCGAAGAATGGTGAGCTCCTTATTGTTGTTTATTTCACGCGCTTGAGATGTACTCATACTCCTTGTCTTTCCACATGACTACATTTGCGCTTTTCTTATTGTATGAAAATCCTACCAATTGTAGTTTCCATCGTATTTTAATAACAGATTTACATCATTTGTAATGAAGTTCAAGCCCTTTCCTGAGCTGACCGTTATCCTGTTTCGAACTGTTGCGTAACAGTGCGAAACCTCTGGCAGATACTGGCATAAAGACAAGTATGAAGGGGCCGTGAATTCTCCTAACCTTGGTTTCCGAAAGGCCATCCCACAAGCTATCAATTACCCCCTGCCCTCAAGAAACTAAAAGTAGCATCAGTAGCATTATCATTGTGATAACAGCGCTGCCACGAGATAAATAAGGAAACACTAATTTTATTGAATTAGATGGTACCGAATCCAAGTGCCTTATTACATGTACAGTCGATGCGTAAGAAATATTCATTTATAGTACTAATGTCAGATTTTTCCTTTGAGTGGAATGGGTCATATGCCAATGCTGCACTTAAACCAAAGAAGTTTTTCTCTATTAAAATTCCTATTTGAGATTAGCTTGAATCAGATGACTATAAACTCACTCGTTTTCCGTTCGGTCTGAGGGGCTCGACGGTGGCGACGACAGCCTCTGCCTTTGCGATCTCTGAGGAAAGCAGAAACTTGCGGTGAAACTGCTCGATGAATTTTCGGTAAAAATCCATCGTGCCTCGTGATACAGCTGATTCTTTCGTAAAAAGTTAGCTTTTGGTTTACCAAGGGAATTTCTCTACAACAACGAAACTCTCGAGCACCGAGGGGAACCTTCAACGCACTTAGTGTGAAGGAATAAAATGTTATGGCAACAGAATTGAACACAGCTACCCACTCTTAACGTAGATTTCGTCATAGAAAACAAAACACAAACGCAGCAAACTAAACATTAAGTTACGGGTATTTTTTGTTCTGATCTTCACCTAAACACCGCAGGCGAGAAACCGTCTTCCTACGGCTGAACCGTACTCGCAACTTCCGGTAGAGCTTGCTGAAGATAGGTATACTTCGCTATCGCACGTTATTTCAAGAGTATTTCAACGCTGACTGATACAAAATTATAAGAGATGTGAGAGATTTGCAAGCATCAACTGAAAGTTTTCACAGTTTTCTACGTCATCAGCCGCTAGTTCGTTACCAGTCCACGGGACACTTTTAAGACAAAATAAGAGCACTTCAGGGCGCCAAAAGACCGAGTTGTTAGATAATTTTCTCCCATCGGAATTGGTTTGTACATATGATGAACTAAGTACTTACGCAAAAAATAAAAAATTCGTGTCATAGGCACTTTAAGAATTTCCATGATGTTCCTTTGTCTGCTTCATTTTTTGAAGCCTCAAGAATTAAAACAGGATCGATTGATTTTTTAGTTCATTAATGACCACTTTCCGGTTTGAAATCCATGCCAGAAATCCATTCTCTGCTCAATCCTTTGCCATCACTAAATAATTTGATCCACACCAAGAAAGCCATTTAATTGGCAGAGCTTTTCCTCGTTCCACGGACATGGTCCTTCATCTGTTTATGTCC